GGAGCAGAAACATTAGCTGCGCTTGTTAATGACTTCATTTCGGCAGGGCCACCGCCGTTTTCTGCTGCTGGCGGCCGGTCTTCCTCGGCTTGTCCCTGCCCGACTCCATCCCCTCCTTCACACCAGTTGTGCCCCATGGGTGATGCTCAAACGCGGGTGGCGGTTCTCAGAGGACAACGACTTTGCTGACATGTTCGAGCTGGGGGCACAGAATGACAGGCGCCGTCCGTCACATGGCAGAACACCCAGCAGCTGCGGCACGGAGCACCCAGATCAGCCACAGGGGCCTTGCTCGATTGGTGGGCCCTGTAGCCTTGTCAGTCCCAATCGGTGCGGAAAGGGGGGGGGGGGTGACCCCTGAACGGAGCCCCTGTTTATTTGGCTGGTGGGGCTGGAACGAGTGGTCAGCACGGATGGCCTGGCCTTGATGTTGTGTGACAGCTGGCAAAGATGGGGGGAGGCCAAACGTGCTATTGAAGGCAAAGGTCGGACCTCTTGCTGCAATCGTCTTGGGGTGAAGCTTCGGCCGATGGATCTTCATCTCCCGCTGCAGCTTTTTTCGGCGGACTGGGGCTAGTGCTCCCTGCTTTAGGTACCCGAGCAGTGTTCTGAGTGGGCAGTCGCAGAGCCAGCGCAGCGTCCCGGGGCCACTGCATCTTGCCGACCACAAGAGTTCGATGTACTTTCTGGCTGGGTGAGTAAGAGCTAGGTACTCAACCTTCCCCCTCTTCTCTGCCGACTACATGTACTTGCTGGCCCGTCTGTAAGTACCTATCGACGGAGGCAGTCAGTAAGGAACCTGATACCTAGGTAGGTAGCCCCATGTGCCTGGTCAGGTCAAGCCGTCCAGCTCTTCAACCCGCCTCCGCCATGGCCTTTGCCATACATGGTCACAGGCGATTGACCCCATTACTGCTGCAACCACGCTTCGCCAACTCGCCAACAAAGCTGCCTCAAGACCCAAAGGAGCAAGACAGCACAGCACAGCAGGACCGGTCCAACTAGGGGCTCCCAATACCTGCTTGTCCGCAGTGAATGTCGTGCCTCTGTTTCTTCCTACTCTTCTACCCTGCATTTGTCCTCATCATTGATACCCGACCGAATCAACCGAAGCGCCCAATCATTCTGCCCTCAATCGATCAATTAAGTCAATCAACTGACCGGTCGGTCGTCTCTATTCTCTTCACTCTCTCGATCCCTTGGGTAGACTTTCTCGGCGACAGTAGTAAACTGGACATTACAACACCAACTCGTTTGCCAAATCAGCTTGTCAGCGCACGCACGCACGCACCACCCTGCCTAGGCAAAAGAAAAAAGCAATAAACCAAGTACCTAGGGGATCCATTGGCAAAGAGCTGGTGCTCGCTATACATTTGGATTATCACGACAAGGCGGCAGAGACCCGTTGCACAACTGTCGTGCTCTATTCTGTCTCTTGCTGCTGCTGCCGCTGCCGCCAGCCCGCCAGGAACACATCGGTGGCCGGCTTGCAAGACAGTGCAACATTGCCAGCCCATCGTCATTTCCCCCGCCACGAGACCCGCTACTTCGGATCCCGCTTCTGGAATCTCTGCCACTTGGTCTCGGGTCGCGAAATGAGAGAAACCCCTTTGAGCGTTCCTCGACCCTGACCCCGACCTCGAAGCGACCATCCCGTCAACCTCCCTCGACCGTCCCTCGCCCTTCCTCCTACACCATTGTCATGTCTGGCGATACTTCGACTCAACGACGCCGTCGTCGCCCTGATCTCAACATTGATACCTCGCCCAAGCACGACTCCAACACCCACGCCGTCTCTCGCGACAAGTCACTGTGCGATGCAGATCCCCTAACGCCCCCTGGAAAATCCAAGACATCAGCACCGCTTCCCAAAAAGCCAGCACCGCGGGCGCTTAAAGCACCCTCCTACTCCACCCATAATGCAGACGACTCCTTTTTAGAGACGCCGACGCCAATCGACACAGACATGTCCAATAAGGAAAACACAAATCCCGCCTACAGCCGGGCCAGGGACTCCCACGACCTGTCCCTACCCGCTAGACAGGTGACACGCGACTCTTTGATGACCAATATGCTCATGTCCCTCGACCAATTTTCTATGCCATCTCTTGGAACGAATGCGAGTGGAAGTGGTACAATCAGTGGCAACGGCAAAGGCGCTTTGTTTGACGACGCATCACAAGGCTACGTGTACAACAGCGACGCCGACCCATTGGCACGAGCGACGGCAGGTCGAGACAGGCGCGCAAACGGACACGGCTATTCCTACAGCTCCGACTTTGACGGCGCCGACGATTCCAGCCGATATTCTAGCCAGCACTCCCGCGGCAGGAGAAGCAACAGCAGCTCGAACTTTCAGACGAACCTCGGCCGCATTAACAGCATTCGCAGCACCCCGGGCACGCCCCGGCACATGCACTCACGAGGCGGTGGGAAAGGAAGCAAGAGCAGCAGCACAAATAGCGTCGACGCCGGCTACGCCCAGGTGCTCAGCAGTCAGCGTTGGGCTCACGGATTCGGCAAACGGTCGTCGAGCTTCGATTACGGCCACCGGCCCCAAATAACTACCAATAACTCCCAACAGGCACCCTGGCACGTCGAGTTCTCCAACACTTTCCTTAGCGACGACTACGACGCGGCACCGACCCCGACTGTTCCTGGCGGTCCGCGTCGCTTTCCCGTCATCACGAGCCCGACCTTCCCTCCCGTACCCCCTGAACCGATTGAGCCTCAGGCCCCGGCCCTCGAGCGCAAACGATCTGCCCGATCTGCGAAAAGCACAGCAACAAGCCGCAAGACCGATTCAAAGAGCAATACCATGACGCGCGAGTCGATACCCCAGAACACGCCAACGCCTGAACCCGACTCAGCGCCGGCGCCTCATATTGGGTACGAGAAGACGAAAGTTGCCGTGCACGGAGCACCTGCCCCAACACAGCCGCCGTCGCAAACAAAAGAGCGACCGGGGTTCTTCAGGCGAGTGTTTGGCTCGTCTAAGAGTAACGCTGCCAGCAACAATGTCGAGCCAGCACAGGCCAGTGTCACTGATACCGAAAACCGGCCCGGCAGCCGCCCCCAGAACGGTGCTAGTCAGGCCAAGTCACAATCAACCCCTCCCTCGCGAGACACGTCTTCGTCCCAGTCGCACCAGCCTGTACTTCACAAGAAGCCCTCGTCCTTTTTCAGGAGAAGGAAAAAATCGAATGCCGAACCACCAGTACCGCCGGTTCCTGCTCCGAGCATTGAGCCTCCCATGCCCTCTGCGGTGCCGCCCCCGTTCCTGATTCCTCCCAGCAAGGACAAGCTGGCCGTCAAGCCAGAACCGAGCCCGGTCAGCAGTCTGCGTAGGGTTATGAACCCATATCTCAAGGGTAGCCCGGTGACACCCAATGCACCTCACCCATTCCAAACTACTGCCCAAAATGCGGAAGCATCGCCCGAGCCCGAGGTCGTGAGCCCTCCACCCCAGAGCGCGAACCGCAAGGATACAAGCGCTCTTTCTCTCCCGACTACGAACCGAGCCCGAACGCGCGCATCCGAGAGGTCAAGTCAGACCCGGAGAAAGAGCCGGAGCCTTCAAATGTTGACGAGGCAATTTCGGACAATGAGCGACGCAACGACACCCCGACGCGACCCCCGCCCGAAGTACCACAACCCATCGGCAAGAGGGACGACTCGTTCTTGAATCTGGATGGATCTGATGACAACGAGGTGGAGGGTTCAACAAAGTACAAGACAGCATCGACGGAGAGGATGAGGAAGGCGAGCAAGGAACTGTTGTCTGCACCGGCTCTAGCACCACCTGTCGTCAAAGAGAATGCGCACCGCGCGAGAATGCCGAAGGCCAATGAAACCGAGGTGGTTGATTCAGAGGACGAAAATCGGTCCACACTTGTCCTGCCGCTGGAGGGTGCCCGATCGGCCAGTATTCGATCAGGGTCGACCGGCACAGAGTACAAGTCGGCACTCCAGACACCCAGCGTGACAGTGGAAGACAGCTCAAAGATGCTCGACTCCATGAATGGCAAGCCCCTCGACGAGCCCGAATTCGTTGTTGGTGACCCGACCGACGATGACCGGCAAAAAGCACAGAAGATTTATGACGGAAACGAAGATTTCATCCAGAAGGAAAAGGCGGCGGCTTGGATGGGGGAAGAAGGCCTTGTTCGACAGCGCACCCTCCAGGCTTACATGGAATTGTACGATTTTGCCAATAAGAGCGTCGTGCAGGCTCTGCGACAGGTCTGTGAAAGGCTCGTCTTCCGAGCGGAGACGCAGCAGGTTGATCGCATTCTGGTTGCCTTTTCGAAGAGGTGGTGCGATTGTAACCCCAATCATGGTTTCAAGGCGTCTGGTCAGCATTCCCCTACCTGTCTCCTGCCGAACGATAAGCTAACATAGACAGACGTTATCCATACCATCTGCTATTCAATTATGCTTCTGAACACAGATTTGCATCTGGCAGACATCGAATTCAAGATGACCCGCAGCCAGTTTGTCAAGAACACCATCACAACGATCATCCAGGCTGTTGGTGAAGCGGCGCCCAACGCATTCAAGCGGCCCAGTATTCTCCCCGAGAAGGACAGTTTACACGCTACCAACGAAGACGTCAGACCTTCTGCTGACGAGCGCTCGAACCGGTTCTCCTTCAAGCCTGCGCCACGACGCGAGCCCAGCGCAGATGGCGCTGAGGGTGTCGAAAAAGACGAGTGTGGTCCTTTAGTAAAGGCACCTTTCGGCGGCACCATGCGGGCTTGGGAGGCACAGGTCGAGATTGTGTTGAAGCTCATCTACGCGTCGATCAGGGACGAGCGACTCCCGTTGTTCGGTGCCGAACCGTCACGAAACCTCGGCCCGACCTCCTACAGCAACCTGTCGGTGATGGGCATGCTCAAGCGTTCGCCGAGTGTGCTCAGTAAAGCGCCGTCGGAAAGTCACTCGTCTATCCGCGGTCGCCTTGCCGAGAACTCTCGCACCAACACGGCCCGCTTTGGCTCTAAGAGTAGGTCCAGGCCTCGCCTTGGTCACAATGGCTTTTCGTCCTCGAGAACCAGTTTCGATGATGGCAATTCCATCTGGAGTCCGACGCCGTCGTCTGCAACATGGAGCCGGTATTCTTTGGGTCGCACACAGGGCAGCATGTCCATGGACTCCTTCGGCACACCGTTTCCTCGCGGCGACTACCAGCAATCGATTGGATTCGCGAACGCACTCAGCCAAGCCATTATCCGCGATGATGCCTCAGGGTTTGGCCCTGCTGCGTCCATCATGAGCGACGAGGCCCATGTGCCCCTTCTCGAAGATGAATCCCTTGAGCTGGCTGGTCCCCCTTGGGTCAAGGAGGGCATGGTCACTCACAAGCACCACCTGGACGGAGTCGCTAAGAAGGCCAAGGACAGGAACTGGACCGAAGTCTTTGCAGTTGTGCAAAAGGGACAGATGAGTCTTTTCTCCTTCACGGCGAACAAGTCAATGGGGCGCAAGAGCAAAATGGCGCGTAATGCCGCAAAGAGCAGCACTGTCGCAGTCGGCGGTGGTAACTGGCAGGACAACGCGACCAATCTCGGAACATTCAGCCTTCGACAGACGCTTGCCTCGGCACTCCCTTCACCTGGTTACTCTAGGACACGACCGCATGTGTGGGCACTGAGCCTTCCAACCGGTGCTGTGCACTTGTTCCAGGTAGGCACGCCAGAGATCAGCAAGGAATTTGTCACGACAGCAAACTACTGGAGCGCGCGCCTCAGCACGCACCCGCTCATTGGTGGCATCAGCAACATTGAATACGGCTGGAGTGACGCGATTATCAACAACGCTCTCGTCACGGCGATTCACGAATCTACTGGCGGTGCACCTCCCTCCGGTCGGACGTCTCGTCCTGGAAGCAGCGCAACCGCCAACGCGTCTAATCCGCCGGCAGCTCGAACAAGTATGCAGTCGTCGCGTAGCTTCCGGTCCGCCTCCTTCGATTACCCTTCGGGCTCCTACGGCAGCGGTAACCGCGGCGTCAAGCTTCCGGGCGACCGCATCCACATCTCCGAGTGGGCGCCACCAACGCAGAGCATGCGGGCCCTCCACACAGCCCGAGGCAGAACAACTACTCACACTGCTGGCCTATGTTAAGGGTGTTGAGGACGAGCTTCAGGTGCACAACAGCCTGCGCAGCCCCATGCTGCTCGCGTTCACACCGCGTGGCCACAATGCCGGGCGCGCCATGGCCAACTGGGAACGCAAGAGCTCCTACCTGCTCCGCGAGATTGTCAAGTTCCGTACCTATGTCGACTGTCTCCAGCAGGCCGACACGCGGCGCGAGGAGATCTACAACGAGAGAGACACCGCGCGACGAGCAGCGCTCGGCGACCTGAGCGACGAGGAAGTCGAGGTTGCTGCAGACGGCGATGCGACGCTAAGAGCGTGAGGCTGAAGTTGTCCAGCCACTTTTAGGTTGAATCCCAATCCGGGCGGCTGGTTCCACGAGACGATGCTGGCGACACTGATTCCCCTTTCAATTTCTTCCTTCCTTTTCTTTTGTTACATCTTTTTACGACGGGGATGCTTTTTCGTTTCTTGTGCTCTTATTCCGGTTTCTGCTTTTTCTTTATCTTGACCATGACACGCGGATGACAAGCAGTTTGATACCCGGCTTCTCGCCCCAGGGGCGAGGCGTGTCTGTACTGTTGCTGTACCTATGTTGTAATATTCCTTCTTGGGTCATCACACACACGCAGAGAGAGAGATGGAGAGAGGGGGGAGCAGAAGATGACCAACCCACTTGTTCGGGGCTGGGTATGATGGAGAAGAAAACCAACTTGGCTCTGTCTCTTGATGATGGCTCGAAAGGGGAGATGGGACGATTCATGACGGGACGCGTACGGGGCGGGGCATGTACGATTGGTGCACTGTAGCAGACGCAGCCAGCCGCCCCCGAAATAAAACAAAACGAGGATTAGTTGAGAATGAGAGAGGCTTTTCGCGTGCCAATTCGTAGGTCTCTTCGTGTCTGTCAGCCTCCACTAGCGGTTTTTTCTCGCTGTGTATAACTAGGTACACGGCGCATGTCGAGCTCTAAATCGAAACACGAAGAGGGGCCCCGCTTGCGTATGCTGTGCGGGGTGCGGGCGCAGGCGCCGTCGTCTGGGCGCCCGAAGCCTAAAATCAAGGCATGGCGGGCGGTAGGCGTGAACTCTCCGTGGGCCCTTGATTCCTCAACGGCGCCGGCGCGTGTGCCCAGCCCCCTCGCGTGCCCGTATGGTGGTCACTCGTCCGTCCATCCAATGGCACAGCGTTGGCCGGCGAAAAGGGCACTGGAACGAGACGAAACGCAAGCACGAAATGGGGGGAAGAGAATTGGGTGAATGCACTCTAATCTACCAATATGACACGATTATCATACAAGCCTGCCAGGGGAGAAACACAATGACCCCTCTGAAACAAAAAAAAAAAAAAACATGGACCGGTCTGGCAAACTGAAAATGAGCCCGGTCGATTTGACCTCCTCTCCTCCTCCACAGCTAACCAACCACCCTGCTCTCCCGAGCGCACCATGATATGTAATCAATAACAGGCTAAACAAAACAGTGCCGTCCATTTCCAATCCTCGAAACCGGCCAAAACAAATGAAATGGTAGTCTGGTATTATGCGTGGTGTTCGCGTGGCAGGGCTCAACCCAGCAGCCGCCACCTGATTTCCTGGCGAGCAAACTCTCCATTTCGTCTTTGGTCGTAAATCTCTTGTCTCTGCGTTTGGGTATTTCTAAAGAAGGGTAAAGGGTAAAGCTGGTGTGGCTCGTTGACTGGCGTCGTTTACCAGAGGTAGACACCGGCAATGGCGGCCAGGGTCAAAACAAGGGCGCTGGCCTGCATGTGAGTGGCAGCGCTCTCATCGACAGACGCGGCGGAGCTCTGGGCAGCGGCCGCTCCAGTGGTGGTGGTGGCCTCGGCACTAGTCAAAGTAGTCGCAGCGGAGCTGGTGGTCCTGATGGTCGTCGTGTTGACGGGCAGCGAGGAGCTCACGGGAGCCGATGAGATGGTGCTGGTCTGTTTTCCTATTAGCAACTACATCTTTCTTGGGGGTTCCGTATCGAACGTACCTTGACGATGGAGCTCAAAACGTCCTCAATGGAGGAGACGACGGCGCTGATAGAGGCGGAGGCGGAGGCAGCGGCAGAGGAGGGAAGCTTGGAAGTGGTCGAGGGGAGAATGGAGGACGTCTCGGACTTGACGGGGTCTTCGGTGGTGTCCTTGAACTTGCCGGCGTCGCTCTCCTTGCCGCCAACAACCTTGATGCTCTCCCAGCTACCCTGACCCTTGGTGTAGACGTACTCGCGAGCCGCCTTCTTGCCGCCGGCGTAGTCCTGGATGGTGACCTTCTGGTAGTGAGCGGCGAACGGAGCCTGGTCCCACTGAGCGAGACCGCCAGCCCAGTCGATGGTGCCCTGCTGCTCCTTGCCACCCTTGCCGCCAACCCAGGTTCCGAGCTTCAGCTGCATGGGGGTCTGGGGGTAGGAACCTCGGCGGGCGTAGCGGTGCGGACAACGTTGCCGTCGATGGAGAAAGTGATGGCGTCCTGGGTCCACTCGATGGTGTAGGCGTGGAACTCGTCCATGGCGTTGAAGGGAAGCTCGTGCTCGCGGCCGTAGGTGTAGTCCTTCTTGCCGAGATGGAAGTAGTTGGTCTGGACGTGGGTGTGGTCCCCACCGATGAACTCCCAGTCAATCTCGTCGAGAGCGTCGGACTGGAGGACAATGCTGGTGATGATGCCCTGGCCGGGCGAGGCGCGGAGGACACACTCGACCTTGCCGAAGAAGAGGTACTCCTTGGACGTGAGGGTCGGGGCGTTGCTCTCCTCGAAGATGATCATGGAGGCTCCAGCGCCGCCGTCGAAGGACATCTGCTTGTCGTTGTAGACGACACCGGGGTCGACGGTGAAGAAGGAGTTGAGGTCGTCGAGCTTGGTGGCCGTGGTGAAGTCGTATTTGGCGGCGCCACCGAAGGCAGGGTTGGGCTTGCAGTCGTCGCCCTCGACGGGGTTGCACAGAGACCAGGTCTGCGCCGAGGCCATACCGGCGACGGCCAGCGACAGGGCCGCCGATTTGAAGGTGGTGTGACGCATTGTGTCGGGTTTGATGTATTGTGAGAGGATTCGAAATCCGAACGAGAGACTGAGAAGAGGAACTTCTCGAAGAGAGGACCACACAAAGTTAATGAAGAAACGGAGAGAGAGAGAGCGAGAGAAAAAGAAGCCGAATGCGACGCTGACGACACGGTGGGGGGGGGACGTGAATTCCTTAAAGAGAGTGAGGCGTGTGATGGGAAAAGGGAGAGAGGGAGGAAAAGGGTGGGCTGGGTGACGGGAAGGCGAAGCAGCTGAATACGATGGATGCTCTGGGCATTGGTGCTGTGCTGCGTGCTGACAAGACGCCAGGCGATTGAGGTGAGACTGGGCAGGCGCCCAGACACACCAAGAAACCCTCCCCCCCCCCTTGCCGTTCTTTTTTTTGGTCGTGAACGGCGCGTGGGCAAGAGGCACAGCACTGGCAAGCACAGATGAGCCCCAGGAGTAGTTGGCTGGTTCGGGCAGGCGCAAGAGGGAGGGCCCCTGCAAATCTGGCAACGTAGCACTCTGGTAGGGCAAGAAGGCATCGTGGGTCAAAACACGGGGTCGCGGTTCCTGCATTCCCATTGGCCTCGCGTTATGGATCCACCTCAGGCGAAATTGGCACAGGCGTGGAACGGAGCGAAGAATCGATGAGGGACGATGGAACGGTATCATCGATGCGCTAGGTACGCTGCTGCCACGGAAGCCTTCTCATCGTGCCACTGAGCCATGAGAAGACAAACCCCAAGGTACGGCTATCGCTGAGGAGACAGTAGCTACAGCGTGCGGCTGCAACCTTGTCACCTTGTGAGGCATGTTGCTGAGCCCCGGGCACTGGAATGCAGCCTGGTTCCTCCTGCAAGCGACGGCCTCGTGTCTCACGACATAACAACAGCAAGTCTTACACTCTTGCTCTATATGGTGGATTCGGAGCCAATAGGGGGAGCCAAGCGCTGCCCAGCCCCTTGGCTCTCTCATCAAGCCACCGAAGCGACCCCCCAAGCCGCCCCTGGGTGATGCCTAAGGAACCAGCCCCTTGTCGCTGCATAGGTTTACCTAAGGTGGTAGCGTAGGTAACCAGGTACTCCACTGTGTACTGCTGTTGGTCAGCTCCTTCCATCCTCCCAGACCCGCTGTACTAGCTATGGCCCGTTGGCGACATAGTAAAACGGGCCTCGTATTGGACTGTGTGATTGACCGAAGAACGACCTTCGGGACCCACGTTATACACATTAGGGCCTTGGGCAGGATGCTATGTGCCTCTTCTCATCTCCCTACATGCAATGCAGTTGGTCGCGAGGGTGCCAAGCCTCGTAACGAAGCAGCTCGAGATTGCATCTTCATTGGAACCTCTGACTACTACTTGGCTGATCCTTCGGTGAGTACTGCACAAAAGGCCAAACATAGTGCATAATCATGCTGCCTGCTATAGGCTCTTCGGGAAAGGTCGACGACTCACAGCACCCTACCTTCGCCGCGCCCTACTATATGTATCGTACCCTTGGTCCCAGCCATCTTCGATGCAGCGAATCCCATTTTCGCGATTCGCGAATGGAAAGCCCCGCCATTTTCGCTCAGAGCTCCTGAAGATCTTTGTGGGCCATGGATCATCGAACTGGGACCACAAATCTGCACGGTCCGCTTTGGAACTTCGACTCTCTAGCTTCGAGACTATAACAAGGCCAAGGCGGCCAAAGGTACACGCAAAGGTACACGGTCGCGCACTCAACATGTGTTGAGCATGCTGGTCAGCGCCGTGCGCTCGGCACTGGTAATGGTGAGGCTATACGAGCTCTTGACCTGGATCCAGCTCCGCGCGTATGTGCACCGAAACGCCGTCACGGGGGGCGACCACAGATCTGGGCTGCGATCGCCCTTGGATCGGTTCGTGCTGGCCGAGACCGCCCACAGCTGCGGGCCCGACAGGTCGTTGGCGAAAGCCTCTCGTCGTGCAGCCGTCCACGTCGAGGCGCCCGACTGCATCCACTGTCATCAGCCTTGGTCGTTGCACAACTGCTGTCTGGGGAGGGAGAGCACAGGCAAGAGAGGGAGGGGGCGGGAAGGGGAAAAGACGCACGATCCATGCATTGGCCAGCGGCACCATGTGGTCAATGTCGACCGACGACGATTGTGTCACCGTCACGCCGTCGTACGGGCTAAACCATGTTCCAGACGTCGGCTGGCATGCGCTGTCGGTGCTGACGCCGCTTCCATCGCGCACGAGCACCGTCTCACTGCCGATCACACGTGTCAGTTGCTCCGTGTTGGGTCATGGACTTGATGGACGGCACTCATTGCGTTGTCCTCCAGAACTCACCGTGAATCGCATGTGCCTGATACAATGTGCCAGTGGCGGAACAGGCTACGGTCATAATCGGCCGACGATCCTGCAGCTGCCACTGTCAATCCCGCAAGAAGGGTCCTCGCCGACGTCGCCGAAGGGATTCCGGGCTGTAGTTCCGACACTATCAGTCGGGCGCCAGCCACACGAGGATCCAACAGGACGAGTACGAACCGGATCAGCCACAGCCACAGGAGCCGGGACCGGTGCAGCAAAGACTCCAGCAGCCGCAACGAGAAGTCCCGTGATCGCGGTGGTGAACTTCATATCGGCGATAAGTAAGGCAGACGCCCTGATCAACCTTGCGAGAAAAGAGAGGCAAATGCGAGGCAATAAGACCAAATATTGGGCCGTCTGAAGATTCTCAGGGCCAACATTGATCATCATTACACGGGACTTCTACAGCCTTTTATCCATGTACAGCTAGTCGCACCTTGAGCCGCGGTTCTTATCTCAAAAGACACACTCGCTCCCCACGAAACACCAAGTCTTCCCCGCCTCTACCTGGTCATCTGAATACGCGTCTACATTTCATCGGAGCCCGCCGCTATCAATCATCCCGATGCATCTTGCCTCTTCATCCTGATGTGGCAGAGTACGCGCAACCATTCACAGCCCTCGTACTTCCCACGATCGTTTTCCATTACGCTTTATCCCCAATCCGCGATAACCTACAGGACCAGGACAGGGCCCTGAAATTACTAGGCTCTCATATTCTGCATGGCCTGTTTTTTCGAGAATCAACTCCTGACCTATCGCTGTCAGTTTTTTGCGAAAGCCGTTGGCAACTCTAACATAAACATGCCGGGGACGCGTCGCGACATCAGCCAGCACAGCCACTCAAAGGGCTATGTGTAACCACGTTATCGGAGCCGGTGATTGAGGTTATCTACTTGCTAGCGCCCTAGCCCCGGGTCATGGATGAACAGGCTGAGAGATGCCTCTTTGGGTAGCCAAGTGCCGATGGCGGCGCGGGGTAAGGGTTGGCTGGATGGCTATCACGGAAGGCACAGATGTACATCACGCTGGTGCTCTTGCGGTGAGGACGGCATTTTGCCAAATTCGGCACATTGCGAGGCGGGGCGGATGTTGTCTGAGAGGAATCACTGTCGGGAGGTGCCGTAGCAATATGGGCGACTCGCTATCGGCGTGCCGCCAGTTCCGGATGATGAAGCACACGAAGGGACGATGCCTGAACGGCATTGAAGGGGAGGAGAAATGGCTGTCTGAAACACAAGCAACGGCAATCGACATGCGACAGACGGTGGCTCAGACCAAGGTGATGTCGCTCGCAAATCCCTCACTCGTAGCTCCATGGTTGGGGGGGGGGTAAGACTGGCACGCAGAGTCAATTGAGTCTTCTGTCAAAGCAAAGGTAGCAAAGGCTCCCTGTCGTCGGCACGGGCGAATCTGAGTCTGCGGCAGCCAGCGACGAGTGCAATTAGTCAGGCCCGCCGAGCAAGCAAGCAATCCTCTGCGTGTCCAAGCTTTCGAATGACGATAAGTCCCACGGGCCAGCACGAAACTTAAATATGCCGTTGCTTGTGACCCTCTGCGTCGAATTTCAACAACGAGGCACGCATCAAGATATAAGTAAAGTAGGTGCACTACCATACCTTGAAGGCAACATGTCCTGGTTCTTCAATTGCATACATAAATTATTGATTCTTGCCTCAATCCCACGAATCAGTCTGCGTGGCTTAGCTGGTCAGAGCGTCGGTCTCATATTGCTTAATATGACTAAGTCATAACACTTAGACATCCGAAGATCATGAGTTCGATCCTCATCGCGGACAATTATTTTGTTTCCATGGAAAGGCCATCCCTTTTTGCCCATCACTTTCATTCATCTAACATGGGACTCATAGTCAAGTATATTAGAGTCGCCCAGTCCGCCTCATTCCGAAGTGTATATCTAGGGACGTAAAGTGCGTCATACTGCATTGCATGTTGATGTTGCGAACAAATGTTAGGTACACGTCATCTCAGGGACGTGCTTGTTCATGCACTCTGCCTCATGCTCGACCTGCCCTCCTCAAACGTTCTTCCATCTGTTGCCGCGGGCTAGGGAGGTTGACCTCTGGAAATCTGTTGTCCTTTTGCCATGGTAAAAAGTCGGACCCCTTGACGAGCCAGTGTAGCACGTCCCTTTCCAGTTGGTCCACCAACTCCTCAAGCTGCGGCTCTTGTGCCAGATTATGCATCTCGTGAGGGTCGGCTTCACGATCGTACAGTTCAGCTGGCTCGTACAAACGATAAACGTAGGCCCACCTCTCGTTTCTGAGCGAGATTGCTTTCCCAACGAGCGAAGTATCCTCGTGCTGCAGTCCCGCTTTGATATCGTACGGATACGGCGCCTGTTCCAGAAGAGGCTCTTCTGAGGTCAAGAAGCCTCCCTCGGAGAAAGCATATTTCTTATGTTTTTGTGCGTCTCCGACTAGGACCGGGATCCACGACTCGCCATTGTGAGGAAAATGTTCGCCAATGCCCGACATCTCGAGAATCGTCGGGACGAGGTCGACCATCTCCGTCATGGCGGCGACCGACTTTCCCTCGGGAAGCCCTGCGCCGCCGATAATGAGTGGTTCGCGCACGAGGGTCTCCGAGAGACCGGACGGCCACTTCTCGATGAGGCCGTGGTCGCCGAGGTACTCGCCGTGGTCCGTGAAGAACATGGTCACCGTGTCCTTCCACAGGCCCAGCTCGTCGACGCGCTTCATGACACGGCCAAATTGGTCATCGAGTCGAGAGATCATGCCGAAATACGTAGCCTTGACCTCTTGCCAGATCTCGTCGGTTGCGCGTCCGGTGCCGTACCTTTCGCGGATGGTCTTCATGTACCTCGGCTCATACCCCGTCTTTTCTTCCGGTCGTGACACAACACCTGTCATTGCTGACCGGTCGTACATGGAAAAGTACGGTTCCTCAACCTGGAACGGACAATGGGGAAACAGGAGCGGCATGAAGAGCACCCAAGGCTTATCGTCGGGGGGGCACTCAAGCCACGTCAAGGCTGACCGTACAACGGCCTCGTCATAGTCGAGCGCCTCGTTGGCGTTACGGAGCCCCTTGTAGAAGAGGCGTTTCCAAATGTCCTCGCTGTCCGCGGGTTTCTCGGCCCCGCCGCCCGTGAACTTGGGAACAAAGTCGGGCGTCTCCAGGAAACCGTACTCCGTCAGCGACAGCTCGGTGACGGTGGGGGCAAATGTGTCACCGCGCGGGGCGAGGCAGGCGACGTGGTAGCCGTCTTCTTTCAGGCTGCGGAAAATGTTGGGCTCCCACGGTTTGATGAGGTTCTCGAGACTGCGGTGCCCGCTCACATGCGGGTATGTCCCGGTGAACATGCTGCATCGCGACTGCGAGCAGACGGAGGCCTGGGTGTAGCAGTTTGTGAAGAGGGTGGCCTTCTGGCGGAACGCATCGATATGAGGCGTCTTGATGCCGGACTTGCCATCAGTGGTGCATCCCAGGGAATCGTAACGGAGCTGATCTGGCATAAAGATGATGTAATTTGGTTGGTTTCCGCCATTCTTGGAGTTGACTTTCAAAGGCAAAGGCTTAGGAGCCTGTTTGTACGGCGGAGAAGCCATGTATTGGAATCTGACGCAATTGAGATTGTTGATGATGAGATTATAAACTTGGCGAATTCTTTCGACAAGGATGAGGTCGAGGTCGTTTATCATATTGGCACACTTTCAGTGATGCCATCGTCACAGGTGATGCTCGCGCCGGCTCGGTCCCCGACAGCCGGCCACCCCACAACCTCAGAACCTCGCATCTCGGCCGACGAATGCGCTAAGCGCCCCCGCCAGTAACGCTACAGACTGACGTGATGCCGAGCTCAGCCCTTCGATCGAGCGAGCCTGCCGGGCGTCGGCATCGCGTGATCACGTCGTCGAGATTTTGGTCCAATACAGGCTCTGACCGCGGACTTGTTGGCCAGGAATGTCAAGCCTCACACACAACAACCTCGATAACGGCAGGTTGCCCGACCGAGGTCAAGGGGTGGTTGTGCCGCCATGTTCGGCATAGATATAAACCCTGAAGGCCCGACATCGAATGTACTCCTGAGCAGCGCAAACCGAATGCAACAACGCCCGACACCTTCTCGCCGTAACTGAACCAGTACCTCGATAGTTGGTTTGCCACCACCCTGACACCATGCCTGATCTCTTCGACAAGGGCAGGTACTTCAACCGAACCCTATTTTTGAGTGTCTTCTTGATCGCCGTCTCTACTTTCAATTATGGTTTTGATAACCAAGCGTTTTCCACGATTCAAGCCATGGAACACTTTACCAAGCGCTTTGGCGAATATGATACAGTCAAGAGCAAATACGTGCTCCCGCCTTCATGGCTGTCTCTCTTCAACAGTCTCAACTACATCGGATTTGCAGCCGGTATGTCTTGGCATCCTGTTGCTAAAAGCGCTTAGACTTGCTAACAAAGGTTTGGCCAGGCGTCATCATTGGAAGTCTGATCTCTTCTCGCTTTGGCCGCAGGTGGTGCATGTTCGTGATGTCTATCTATGTGTCAGAGCGTTGTTTAGAGCAGAGTGAAGGGGTCTTCCACAGGGTCCGCAGATAGATAGAATATAGGTATGGGATAGGAATACATCTGAATTCTGGCCCTCCGCAGCTTGGGGGGCCCTCCGCAGCCTATATATACGTTCTCTCCGGGCCCTTAGCCCCCTAGCCAGCCCCTTAGCTTGGCAGGCCCTTGGTGGCTCCGCAGGGGTCCTGACACTATGCTCTGGGAACAGCAACTATTGCAGTCACGTCGAACAGCAAGGATCAGATCATGGCGGCACGCATCCTTAACTACGTCTACGTCGGTATGGAGCTTTCCGTTGTTCCAATCTTCCAATCGGAAATTGGTGAGTTTCGATACCAACAGTATCTGTAAATCGAAATATTAACGGGAGTTTGCAGTTCCCGCTCCGGTTCGCGGCTTTGTCGTCGGCACCTACCAGCTGAGCTTGGTTGTGGGCGGCCTCACGATCAACAGCATCTGCTACGGGACAAGCAAGATTGACGACAACAGGTCTTGGCGAATCCCCCTCGGCCTTTTCTACATTGTACCGAGCATCGTTGCGGCTTTGATATTTTTGGTGCCTGAGTCTCCCAGATGGCTTCTGCGACAGAACCGTCTCGAAGAGGCCAAGGCTATGCTTGTCAAATTGCGCCAGGGAGCTTTCACAACGGACGAAGTTGAGGCTGAATTCCTCGAGCTCCGCCTAGCACTGGAGAGTGAAGAGAAAGGGAAGTTTGTCGAAGTCTTCCGTGGCAAAAACGTGCTGCGGACCGCCATCGTTATTGGCGTCAATTTCTTCCAGCAAGCCACAGGACAAGCATTTGCGTCGCAGTACGGCGCCGTCTACGTCCGAACTCTAGGAATTTTCAACCCAGTGTTGTTCAGCCTGATCAACTCTGCGATCAACGTGATCATTAACTTGGGCACTTTACTTGTGACTGACAAATTAGGAAGACGGTAAGACAACACTTGAATCCACAAAAACCATGCTGATTCCGTTGTAGCACACTCCTCATGATTTCCTCCGTTGCTATGATGGGCTGCCTGCTGTCAATGGGAAGCCTGGGCATCCAGGTCCCCGTCTCGACGGCCCGTATGAAGGGCATCATGGCGCTGATTTCGCTGTTTGGAGCCAGCTTTTCGCTTGGTTGGGCTCCATTGACCTACGTTGTTGCCACGGAGGTTTCAGCGCTCCGCCTTCGCGACCATACATCTCGCGTTGGGTTCACGGTCAACGTAGTCTTCAAGTAAGTACGCATCAAGTTTCTAGCCTTTGATGGACGCATGCTTCGTTGACCTGAAAATACTGATAAAACAAAGCTTCCTCGTAAACTTCTCTATCCCCTATCTTGTCTGGCCGGAGAATGCCGGGCTTGGCAGTAAAGTCGGCTTCATTTTTGGGAGCGTTGCATTTTGCTCGCTGATCTTTACGTACTTTTGCGTACCTGAGTGCAAGGGAAAAACGCTGGAGCAGGTCGATTATCTGTTCAAGACTGGAGTCGGACTTCGACACTTTGTCGACGCAGATGCCGGCGGCCTCTTGAAGTCGATTCCGGGGTTGCAACGCAAGGAGGAACATCAAAGCGACGTTGAGAAGGGGACATCGTTTGTTGCATACCAAAAGGATGCCAAATGATTTATTCATCACGGGTGAAGATGCTCCTTCTCGCTGGTCAGCCTGGGGTTGAAAATGCGAATGTCCAGAAGGCAGAGGCTGAATGGGGCCGGTTACATTCAGTCTCGAATACAGATTTCGTATCATTTCGCGTACCACTGTCAAGCGCATCGACCAATTTTGTGATCACGGTCTTCTTTCCTGAACTTCCAAAGCGTTCGCCTCACATAGCTAGCCCACAGGAGCACATATTGAGGTGAGCCATGCGGCTTCCGATGGCGCGCAGTGACATGAGCCGAAGCAAGCGCTTGCGTGATCCGCCCCCGGACTTGTGTGATCGCCCGAGCTAACACTCTAGCTCGTCTGGTCACTTGAATCCCATTAGCCCTGGGTTACGCCCCGCATTTGCTGAGCAGCAAGATGCCGAGCACGACATCCGTACCGAGCCGTCAAAAGCTGCCGGCTCCCGTCGTCATGCTCGGTGTTCAACACACGACCTGATGGATCCCTTCGACATGTCAGCAAACGCATTGACCTTGACGCCTACTCTGCCAACGACACAAAGTATCCAGGCAAGCATCGATCCCGGTCGAAATGACGGCGGCAAGTCATTGGCGGCGTGTAGACAATGTCGTGCCCGTAAGGTCAAATGTGATCGCGCCGAACCATGCTGCGCTGCGTGTACTCGGCTCGGCTTTCCCTGCTCCTTTGGCAACGTTGTCAACGACACAGATATCGACATAACCAATTCCTCATCCAGTCTAACACAGGCAGGGACCAAGAGAAAGCGATCGCGGCAGGCATGCAAAGCATGCAAAGCAGTCAAGGCAAAATGCTCCGGTGGGAAGCCTTGCGAGAGGTGTCTTGCCCGAGGCAACCCTTGCGAACAAACGTACGTCGCGCAAGAGCCCGACCAGGGTTTCTGGCTAGGACCTTCGCCAGACCATCCGGCGCTGTCGACGCCGGGCACGATGGGAAGTCTTTCGTCAACAAACAGTGCTCTGTTGGACAAGCCTGTCGTCCGGAAGTACCTCGAAGCGTACTTGGATTCGCCGAGTATGTCTGGCTGCAAAATATTCTTGAAACCCGTTGTTCTTGCCGATTGGAGCAAGGGGAAACTGAACCCGCTGCTACTGAAAGCTATGGTCGCTAGTGGACTCCGCATCGTCGACGAGCTTCCTGAGAGCCAAGCCACAGCCAAAGCATGGGTTCAAGAAGCTCAGCATGACCTCCTTCGACACATCGGCAAACAGTCAATTTCGCAACTTCAGGCCCTTGTCGTCATTATCCGTTTCCATTATGTGGTGGGCGAGGTGTCCGATGCCTGGAACTTGCTCTCTCTAGCTGCTCGACTCATTTTCACGATGCGTCTCAACTGGGAAGATGACGGGCTTGATGCAGTCACCCAGGAGACTCAGCGCCGACTCGTCTGGGCTATTTACCTCATTGATCGGCAGTTCTCCGGAGGCATCGAAGACCTCGCAGTATGTGCCGTGGAGCGGATGCATATTCGGTTGCCGTGTGATGACCATAGCTTCCGACGGGGAATGAAATCTAAAGCAGAGTATTTGCACGACATGGCTCGTTGCAAGAGTGGTGACATGGACATTCTCTCTTACAATGTCCGCTTGGTAGCTTCTAGGGACCGTATTCTGAGGTAAACACCCCACAACCCAGCGATGATGGGCAGCAAGAACTAATCGTCGCAAGATACACCAAACGGGTCAGGCGAGAGTGCTCAAGCCCTGTAGATAGCACGAGCGAGGCGACGATACTTCACAAAGAGCTCGATGACTTCGCAGAAGCTTTGCCCGATGATCTCAAGTTGACGTCAGAGCGACTTCTCTATATGTCACACTCTGATGAGGCCAGTGAATACATCGCTTTGCACACAATCTGGTTGCAATGCTACTGCGACCTCTATCGCTTTCTGATACCTGGAATTCGAGAATCCGTTCCCAAACAGGCCATGGAGCAAACGCCCCCTGACTTAGTAGAGAGCTACCAGAAAATATGCTTGGACAAGGCGATTCAACTTTGCGAGTTCTGGTCCGAGGTTCATCAGCTGCAGCCCACTCAAGGCATCAACGACATGATTGTTGCTGTCAGCATCTATCAGGTCTCCCAAATTTTATACCATCTTCAACCTCTGCTACCAGATGAGGGCCATCGCAGCATCGAGAGCCTCAAAGCAAAACTGGAGTGTGCGCTCCAGCTGACAGCCTCTCTGAGGACCTCTTTCAGTCGATCAACGGCTTGCCTGAAGGCGTGCGATAGATTGGTCAGCATTTTGGGTCAAATCCCGCAACAGCCATCGCGACCATCGAGCGTGGATGAACTCGAAAACCAACATCATCTTCCGTCCAAGCATTCCTTTATTCCTACGATATCAAGACGACAACATGGGTCGGAAAATAATCACTCAAGCAACCCAGCATCTCCTACAGGATCTGTCCCAGAAAACAACCAGCGGCAAGCAGAGGATATGGGCTTGCAGCTCAGGGCGGCTACGCGTATGGATATAATAGACTTCAGCGGCGGCCATGTTCCTGGTTCTTTGCCACCATCTGCGATGAGCGATGGTGGCATGGCACCGTGGGATCCCTTTGACATGCAGATGAACGACTACTACGACCCGGAACTTGGACAGTTACTCATGTCGATAACGAGGTAGGGTGACTGGGTCAATGTGTAATCCTCAAGCGATGGTGCCATGACCTGCACGGGAAGATCAATCTTGATGTTTGCAGGGTGGCAAAGGACCTTGTGTCCACTGCTTTCTTCGAGATGCCGAGCTGACCCAGTTTCTTGAGTGGATTTTCTCTCAAGCCAAAAATCGACACTGCCTTGACTTGATCTACCTTGCCTGTTGGCCCCTCGCAGACCTGAATGGGCTCTATTTTAATTCGATGATCCTTGTGAGTGGAAGCCGAGCCCAACGCTGCGAGTAAGATTGCGGTTCTTGACCCGAAATCCTGGGTCCAGTCATGCACTGTAGGTAGACCACGTTTCGCGCCGGGATCCGAGATAGTGGGCCCCCTCTCAACCCCTTTCCCGGCACCTCGAGTAATTCTCCTAGTGCTGCGTCTCAATTCCTTTGACCCATTGATGCTAGGGTAACGTCGTTGCACGTTCCCAGCATGTTCATCCGGAGTGGCTCAAGGTTCCGAGAAGATCGGTGAGCTTCCTTCCGAGGTGCCGCGAGCGTGTTCCCCTGGCTGTTTTCCTCGACGTGCTTTCAAGACATAAAGTCCTACACACATGTACAATCATTTTTCTTTCTCGTCTCGTTGGCATTGTTTCCGGCGCGGGAAGATAGCCTGTCTATCACCATGGCATTGTTGCTAGTAGTCTTCTCAGCGGCAGCGGTCGCGGCCTCGTCGAAGGGCCGGTCGAACATTGTTGACAGATTGAACGCTCCTTTGCGCTTCAGTCAAGACGGCACCTTCAAGATTTCTGTCATGCAAGACTTGCACTTTGGCGAAAGCATGAGTCCCATCCCTGACAGATGCCACCCTCAAATGCTGACCGAGTATTCTCAGATTCTTGGGAGTCATGGGGACCTGCTCAAGATGCCAAAACACTCGAAGTCATGAACACGGTCCTAGACAGTAATCCGCCAGATCTCGTTGTGTTCAATGGAGATCTAGTTACCGGAGAGAATCTGTTCTTGGAGAACAGCACCCATTATGTTGACGTGATGGTCGCTCCTCTCATCGAGAGAAATCTCACTTGGGCTTCAACTTATGGAAATCACGACTATCAGTTCAATGTCTCTGGGCAAGGTATCTTTGAGCGAGAGAGGCGGTTTTCGAACTCCCGTACGCGTAGGATGGTCGCTGGCGACAATGCCGGCGTAACTAACTACTACCTACCCGTGTATGCCGAGGGCTGTCACCACTGCGATTGTGTCCCCGAACTGCTACTGTGGTTCTTTGACAGCCGAGGCGGTTTCAAGCTTCAGGAGCGTCAAGCGAACGGCGCGGACGTTAGCCATCCTAATTGGGTCGATCCATCCGTCGTCGAGTGGTTCAGAACATCTCATGCACGCATTTCCCAACGCTTCGGCAAGACCATACCGTCTCTCGGGTTCGTTCATATCCCCACACAAGCATCCCAGGCGCTTCAATTGTCAGGCGTACACCCCAATCACCAGCCTGGCATCAATTACGATACCCCACTCTCGCAGCAGGCTCAAGGATGGTGCCCAGACGGCAAACCAAACACAAAGTGCAAGTATGGAGGTCAGGATGCCCCGTTCATGGAAGCCATAGCCTCAACACCAGGGATAATTGCGCTCTTCTCGGGCCACGACCATGGAAACACTTGGTGTTACAAGTGGGACAAAGCTGTGAGTGGCGTGGCTATCGAGGGAAACGGCGTGAATTTGTGCTTTGGTCAACACACGGGTTATGGCGGGTACGGCAGCTGGATTCGGGGAGCTCGACAGGTCCTCGTGACCCGTGAGGGGCTCAAGAACTTTGAGGTCGAGACATGGAACATCCTGGAAGACGGCCAAGCTGTAGGCTCTGTGGTTCTCAACGCTACTTACGGCCTTGACTCGTATACCGAGGTTTCGGACGAACACACGAGCTGTAATTGTAAGTGGCTGAAACAAAGATTCTCATCATGCAATGGGAATCACAGAGTCTCATCGCTAACTGTCCAGGTTGATGTTACTTCGCAGCCCAGCCATCTTCTGGGAAACGCTGTGAGATGCCGTAGTTGGGAGCTTGAAAAAAGGGTATTTGCTCTATATACTGCTCGACTGGACATAACAGGCCTCCTCAATATCGAGCGTCCCGAAGTACGCCGATGTGAATGCTACATAACCTCGCACTAGATTCACCTGGTGCCAAAGAACGTCACAACCAGCAGTGACAGCAGACTCGTCTCCGACTTTTTTTCCTGTTGCAATGTATATCTCCTAGTCAACTGTAAATGGGTAATGTGGGCCGTGATGGGCACGAACATGGCTGGTTGCCCGGCTGGTGCGAGTCAACTGTTATGCACCAAGGCGATCTGCACCAAGCCACTTTTGGTCATCTGTGGAGAGTATGGTCACGGGCCTTGAGAACCATGCTCTGTGTTTCCGTCACTTGCGGCGGTCCCAAAGTCGAGTCATTCTATGGTGTATTGTATACCAGCAGTAGCCTAGGGCTGATGCGGCGGGGGAGGGGTTGTGGACCAGGGGGATGTGCAAAACCGCGAAATTTGTTGCGCATCACGAGGGACCTCGAGTAACTACCCATGGTAATCCCTTCTCGAGAGCAGCGATGCAGTAAATAAGGATCTTTTGATGCCCTCTCACGTCTGGGCGCGCCTATACAATGCATTAGGTCTGGGGAACCTTACTAGGGCCGTTCCCGCATTCATCGTCTAATCTAGTCCTGTCCCCAAGTTGCCGGCCTTTACGCCCTGCTAATTGAGGATCAATAAGGACCCTCACACATGCCAATACCATCTCGTACCATGGCCCCTCGAATACGGATCCGCTGCGTGAACACCAATGGGACTTTGGCCGGGTTCCATGATCATCTGCTGCGTAGAATGATTCGTGTCTTAACGGAAAGCGCCCGAACCGTTGCAGCGGGTCAGTGGAAGAGTACGCTGCCTCTTGAGGCACATAGAAATGCCACCAGAAACCCACCTCACGCCCTCATAGCTGCCCTCGTCGTGCGAGTCAGCCATGAAAGTACCCGTCTGGCGCAGCGAGCCGATACAGCCCTGGAAAGTACGGCCGTAACGGCGAGTAGTCCAAGGCTTGGTGATCCAAACACCGGCCTGTCCGTCAGCTACCACGCCGGACAGGGTGACGGAGGCCTGGGTGGTCCAGGTACGTGAGTAGTTGATGCCGAGGGTTCCGCCAAGCCTGTCCTTGATGAACTTGAGATCAAGGCCAGCAGATACGGAAACGCTGTTGCTGACGCTGTAGCTCGAAGCAACAGCAACAGTCAAGCCGTTTCCCACACCGAGGACAACGGGGGACATCTGCACGTCCCAGTCGATGAATCGTTCCGTCCTGTCGGTGACAAACGACGTGGTTGACGCACACTGCCGGGTCTGGAGGATGTGGCTCTCAGCCTCTGAGGTAGCGAGGTCGCGAGCGTCGAGATAGGCGTGGTCGACCTCGGGTGTTCCGACCGAAACACCCTCAGACTCCAGGAGAGCGAGCCAAGTGTCCTCGTGAATGACCTCCACTGCAATCTGTCAGCAGGAATATCACCGAAACCGGGGCTCGATATAACCTACTCCGCCCATTGCCATAGACGATCACTTCGTCCGGTTGAAGCTCATGGTCAGGAGTCCACACTGTGGCGTTCAAGTCGCGCTCCGACATGAACGGTGCAGCTGCAACCATGGAGGCCAGGAAAAGGCCGGCAAAGTGGGTGGTGATCATCGTGTATAGACAAGACAAACCGAGGATGAGAATGGTGTATGGATGAATGATGATGATGATCGATCAAAATCCCCAGACATGGCCACCTCATGGTAGGTTTTATAGACAGAGGTTGAACGACGTCGTTACTGTTGCCTTGGAGCGACACCACATCCCTCACGCTGTGTGCCAAGATAGAGTCACGGCAATTGGCCAGTTGAGGAATCGGTCACACAATCAGCTCGTCTTTTTTGTGGTCTAACCACAGTTGAGAAGCCTGGCATCTCTCTTTCCAAAAGCATCCCGCAAAGCTGTGTAACTGAGTCAAGGTTGATGCATCAATTATATTGGATCTCCACACCCGTTTAATGAGCGCTTACTGTTTCAGGAGCCAAAGATCATGGGTCAGGTCGATACCCATATCTGATTAGACACTACCGGGATCGATCTTGGCCTGTTTAGTCGAGAGGAACGTCACCGATAGGCTTATAATCGGAGCATCGGGAGTCAAACTCACTGTCCTAGTTGTTCATGACTAGATATTTTCGCTGGCTGGCCCCGGATAACTCTCGTGTTACATGAATCGAGGTCTCGTCAGGTGCTTCCTATTGCGGTTGCCACTTGTCAACGTCGTTAATACTCCACCACCCAAAAGACACCTGCCTCTTTAGAATGATGAGATCGAGATATTGTGAGTGCTCGACGTCAGGCACCGGCAGTAATCCCGAGTAAATGAGGTGGCGGCGAGCTCGGCGTTCCCGACATTGAGGACGGCCACGATATGGGTTTGCTCGCGATGACTGGCCTCTGATCTGCAAAGTGATGGCCTCCTTACAAGACTGATCGAGGGCAGATTGACAGCATAAGAACGAGCGGAATTCCACATACCTCATGCTCTTGAAACGAAGTTCTCTATTCTTTGTATTTTCGGCTTCTACTCGTGGTCAAATAATCACAGGATGCATTACGTTTACTCCACCTTGGCGGTTGCTCTTATGCTTGCCGGCGGGTAAGTCAAGTCCCATCTCCAAGCTCCCTTGCGATCCAAGAGAGGGGGTCGAAGGTCTCTGGACTGACACCATGTTCTCGGCAGCGCTCTGGCCGACTTGCACAACGTCGCTGTCTGCGTGACGAACCGCAAGTCTGCTCCCATCGGCGGCACAGGTTGGAGCGTCAGCTACAACTGGGCCAAGAACTACGAGATACTTCCTGAGGCGACGCGTTGCGCGTGCAACCTCTATCGCCAGCGCAACACTGGAAATAAGCAGTGGGATAAGTGCCCCGATTGCACTTTCGTATGCATCCTGATTCTATACTACCTCAACTTGCATTCTACTAATCTTGATGTAGGATGGCCTTGGCTGCAACTCTGCTGGTTGGCACATCGGTGGCGACGAGGTATGTTCAAGAGTTCTTGTCGGGAAACATGGGGCATGCTAACCCTGGATTGAAGATGAACTATTACTGTTCCAAGAAGTGTGGCGCTCAGGGCTCTGAAGCCAACTAGACGTCAACCCAGAGCGAAACTCAGGATTCTCCGTTTTGGCCTGTTAATTGCATTCGCGGAATGTCTTCCAACTCCACATATGCCCAGGTGAACGAAATGGTATCGAAACTTTAGATTCTGGGCTTCAATCTATAATGCGATCACTGTCAAGAAGTCTTCTTAATCTGTGTGTGGCAAAGCCTTCACAGCATTTTAGGTACTGACACAGACGACCATAATGTTACATGTAGTGGCATCATTAACCATTGACTTGGTGATATGTGTTAATCACCTTCCCCGTGGGGGCTGTTTCACTTGATCAAAGATAAGCCTATCTGAGAACGCGATTCATAGCGGGTGCTCCCGGGCTTTCGACACACAGCCAATCCACTTCAGCTGTGTGCCTGACTCGTCCTTCATTGATATGGCCAGCATAAGTCACGGCCAGAAGGAAGCTGCAATAATTCCCTGCCAATGTCTCGGCCCACTCTTTTAATGATACTCGTGATAAGGAGGGGTGTATAGCCCCTGTCAATCCAGTGTAGCTTAGCACTGTTGACGACGCCGAAGCAGCTGAGATCACGGGGTAATAGGCGCGGCGATACCAAGGCAAAAAAGCCTTCCGGTATGAAACAACCGAAGACCATGCTCTCCATACAAGCATTTGGTAAGTGTTTGCTCGAGTGATTGTGAGAGCAACGCCGTTACGATACATGTAGATGACGTCTCGCGGCTGACCCCACTTGCCCATGCCAGCTGCCTCGGGGAGAAGTGTCCTGTCCACATGATGCTTTCTTTGGGGACGAGGCATCTATCCCTTGATAAGTTTGATCCAAGAGATCAACAGCCAACGGAGCCTGGAGTTGGTGCGACCATTTGCATGCATCGCTGTCGCGTAAATTTGGAGGCATGTCAGTCCGGCCTGTTATGTGCTGTATGTCGTGAGCTGCAGTCTCACTCACCCGGGGATTTCCCACACAGAATGTTCTACACCTTAATTGCTTCTTTCTCACACTGAACATGTTTCAACGACAGCATATCACTACGCTGTTGAGAAATCAGCGTTTAATGAAAGACCCTCCCAGAAGTACCCTACTCGAGACAGAGCATCGGCGTTGGTGTGACGTCCTCTGACAGGTGGTGGCAGCTGGTCTAGCCGCCAAGAGAACTTGTACCAAGCTGGTGGTCCACGAACAAGTAAATGACCAGTTTCACAACATCAACCCGTAGGGCTGACGTCCCTGCAGATGGAGCGAACAGTCACCATTCACCTGGATAGGTTGATTTCAGTCCCAAAACATCCTCTATTGCCGTGACAAAAGCCAGTCTAGGCTCTTCGACCTCGCCAAGGGGAGTCCTTGGTGTGAAGGTGGGCGGAGCACTGGACCCTCAAGGTACCCAACCAAGCCAACCAACCACATGACGACTGGCGTCCATCCGGCCCCCTTTCAGAAAACCTTCTCAAATGCCCTCGCATTTCATGGCCACCCGTACCAACACCCGCAAATGTACATAGATGGCTTTTGAGATTACCTCATGCTTCGCCCCAGAAGCTGGCGATCCCGCCAATGAATTCTTCGTCCTTCGGCTCTCTAAGCATAGCCGCATTGGGGACCCTCTCGCTACGGGAAGCCAAGCGGGGCCCTGGCCAGCAGCAGACAACCCGCTCATCAGGCATGGGGAAAGTATAACACGAACAGGAGCCGCACTGCCAGCTCCTGCTCGTAAAAGCACTGCTGGGGTGATAGACTTCGTGCCCCGACGACGACACGCGTCTTGTCTGAGCCTTCTTCCCTTTCAGTAGACGTAGATGCGAGGCCACGGCATCAAGAGACCGAATAGCTCGATCGGCATTCCTTGAAACCGGGACGCCCTTGCTCTTCTCCCGACGAAGCTTCTCTCGACGAAGCACCTCCGTATCGAGCCCTGGCATCAGTCGTCTCTCTAACAGGGAACGTCGGACCACCAGCATGGCGCACGACCACGCCCGCGACGCTGCTCCGGGCACGGGCCATCAATGCCGTCATCTGTCAAGTCTCGACTCGACCCTCTCTTCTCGACGACGGAGGCCAGCCAGGCGACATACGTCGGCAACTGCATCCTCTCGCCTTCATCGCCCTGACGCTACGATCCCTCCTCGCAGTGAAGCCCTTTCTCGAGAATCGGCTATGGGCGAAGCGCAAAGCGCAGGCGGCGAGGGCCCAGGTCGGGGAGGAATTGCAGCGGCTGAACAGCGAGGAGGATGGCGCCGGCGAGGCGCCGAAGCCGGAGCGCTTGCTGCGGTCCAGGGAGATGGGACCGATCAGGACAGCGGCGCGCTCTCGGGCGTTGGGCGTTCTGATCAGAGCGGGCAGGGCCTTTTTCGAAGTCGGTATTGCCATGTTGGGGTATCTGCTGTGAGTGCATGCGTTTTCCACGATAGGGACAGAGAGAGAGAGAAAGAGAGAGAGGACTGACGCGACGAAACAGTATGTTGGCCATCATGACGATGAACGCAGGGTATTGTGCTTCGGTATTGGGAGGCATCTTCTTGGGGACGTTCATGTTTGGCGGTGGTATCGGCGAAGAACAGTTCGACCATTGCTAGAGGACAAGGTCGACAGCTCGAATGCAAAGGTTAGCCTTCGACTTCATGAAGAGACGTCTTCGACATTTTCTTCGTTGAATCGTCTCATTGTTGATACTGAGTCGAAGGTCCATTTCCAATTAGGCACCTTTCGCAAATGGTCACCGCACCCACCAACGGAAGTTGGCGGTTGCGTCATCGCATGGCCCATAAAGCGCTGTGACACGCGACGCGACACCTTATACCTACTTTGTCCCTTCTTCAACTATGGTTCTGGTAGCTGCTCACGGCCGTAAGGATGTGACAAGGTTCAGCAGGGCATTCCATCTTATCAGCAGCAGTACCACGGCCCGGATATGGACGACGGCCCGCACATCATACCACGATGAAATACAACATACATCCTATGACAGGGATTAGATTATGCGGGTTACCCACCGCAAGCCTGTCAGTACGTGCTCGCCATCTTGCGAGACCACAACGCCTACTTGGTCGAGCGCGGGCAGCTAAGTGACGACGGACAAGGTCGATGCGGGCACGGATGAGGCAACGGAAAACGCAAGACTCATCGACGACTATACCACACCTGAAGGTCGCACGTATGACTTTGATCTGAGCCTGGAAGCGTCCAGTGAGCAGCCAGACGCTTGTCTCCTATCTGTTGTAGCCCGAGGGCAGCTGAAAGTATAGCACCCAGTATTCCAACCCGCAAATACAAATGTTACCACGGCCGAGTAGTCTGTTGCCCGGGTCTATGTTCTCCAGTCAACGTGACCGCCCAACTCCAGATCAAGCAGGCGGCATGCGTCTGTAGATATTCCATTTCTCGTTCACGTAGTCACGGCATGGTTTTCACACTTGGAGAATTCCAGCTCAGTCCACCCGGCACAAAGGCCTTATCTCGACAGTTGGAAAATGCCGTTCCAGGTGACACGGTCTGTATGACTCGAGGGGTCAGTCCAGTAAGGCCAGGACTGCAAGGGATAGCAGAATTTCTGTAGATGCGTCACCTCACAGGCTCGGGTTGTGCGTCTTCGTTCTGCCAGCAAAACATGCCAACAGAGCCTCCCTTCCAGTCCACCACAGCCCGGGATAAGGCAGACCAGCCTGAGCGGTCCGTTTGTCCACTTCGCAAACGCCAAGCAGACCGCTCCCTATCCTCCCGCCCCCCGCATCATCAGCGTCAAACATTATCCAAGCCACATCGTCAAAGAGCCAAAGCAGCCATCATGCTTGCAAAGTCCAACCCATTCCGCCGCGAGGGCCACCCTGCAAACCCGCAGCCACGGCTCGAGCAGCCACCGTCACAGATCGCCGACTAGCGCCCTCGCATCCGAGCAGGGCACCACCCGCGCGGCGTGCAAGACAGACTGAAAGAGAAATACCCAATCAAGATGGAAATCCGAACTGCCCCTTGCACACATGGACACAGGGAGGCCCATAGTTCAACAGCAGTCAGGTCCGCTGACAGGGCGTGCCGGAAGAAGGAAGAAGGGAAGTTAAAGCCAACGAAAATGACGGGCAAGAGACAATAGGCTGATGAGAATCATGCAAGACAAAGCGCCAGGTGGAGAAACATTCCATGAGATCGGAGACTTCGGAGGATGAGGGAGGGGTGCTTTCGATAATGCGACTCCTCCCCCACCCCGCCTCCTCTCTCCCTCTCCCTTTTTGACGAGTACTTACACCGCCCCCCGCCCCCCCTCCCCCTCTCGGGCGCTACGACTCGTCGACGCGTGGAACGACGCCAATCGGGCGGGTCGGAAGACGATCGACAGACTTGCGAGGTCTGAGACAATTGACAGCGTCACTCACGACTGGGCTTGTGGTTCCCCGTCCCCCATCTAGGCGTCAGGCCAGGTGGATGTTTATTTGGTAGTTTTTTGTAAACTCCGGCGGGTTGGGCCCTGACCTGTATCATGGCACAGAGAGAGCAACAAGAATCCGTGGCTTGCATCTCAGCAGAATCGGGTCGGAGTCGCGACCAAAGCGAAACATGGCGGAAGTCGTTAGGTGGAAAATGCATGCATTCATGCTCGTACATTCCGCAACATCTATGTACAGAAATGCCCCGATACGACTTTCCCAAGCGACACCCTCGCCACGTCTATCAGCAGCCAACACTGCGGCACTCGAGGTCCCGCACGCGAATTACAAACAAAAGGTATCCAGGCAATCAAGGAACAGTCGTCATCGCACGACAACTGCCGACCGTTGCTCGTAAAAGGTGCCGCGTGCGCATGTAGTCGCAGATCGAGATGATCATGAGGCGGGCATATCTTGCGAACCAATGCGTGTTGAAAAGAAGCAGAACCCCCTCCAATGCTGCCAAACAGGTGTCGTGGTCTTTTGGTGCAGTCCAACAGTAAAGAAGTATGAGAAAAAAAGGAAAATCGTAAAGAATGAGTGTTACGGCCGTCGTGTGTCGTCTTGACGAGAGCGATGCTCTATCGTGCTGAGACAGACAACTCTGGTCGCCGCGAGGCGGCCAAGGCCGGGTTTCCATTGTTGGGCCGGGCCAGCATCTGCTGCCGGTATCCAGGCGTAGCCCCGTCTAATTCCATAGCTAGGCAGTCATATCGAGTCGCTCATAGACGCCTCTCTTCCTCTCCTCTCTCAGGCGCGTGCGCCGTCGTACTGTTCAATAACGTACGTCGTCGAGAGCCGATGAAAACAGTCTACCGCTGCTGAACCTCAGCAACACTGACACTCGTGCCCCAGTCTTGCCTCGCGCCCTGGGCCTTGCCAACGGAGTTGAAGCCCGCAAGGCTGGAGATGCGCCTGCTCAACCTCTTCTCCTTGAGAGGCGTAGAGGTGACGGGGGTGCCAACGGGCTCGGCGGTGTGAAGGGCATTGATGCGGCCCGAGTCGGAGGTGGAGGTAGACGAGCCAGTCGAGTTGGGGGTCTGGTAGACATACTCGCCATCAACATAGACGGCACTGGACTGGAAGGTGGAGCGACGGTTGCGACGGCGGGTATACCGCTGCTCGAGGCGGAAGAGCTCAATCTTCTGCTGGATGGGAGGCCTGGAGGCGGTCGATGAGTCCACCGGGCGACATGATGACGGTAAAATAGGGCGGTAGGATGATTTGAATGAGACTGAGCCGGTGGTAGTACTACTCCTTCGAGCTACACAGAAGCGTATAAGGTGTCGAGCTGATGCGGAATTTGCGGCGGTTATGGGGATTCGACGTCTGACCTCCTTTTTGCGTGTGTGGAATGATCCGGGCGATCCCTCGAGACAGACGATGGGACGAATGGGGCAAGCAAGACGAGATTGGGGAGTTTCAGAAAGGCGGGGCGTGAATGCCGTAGGATGATTCGAGCAGGCTGTGTCGTGTATGCGTGGCGGGGTATTAAATGAGGTGATGTTATAGTTGGGGGTTGCCGCGTGGCTGTGTATGAGAGAGAGGAACGAGTTCAAAACGCCTTGTTCTGGGAACTCTAGTGACACTGTTATTGAGAGGCTTCGCAAGCTTTC